ACGGGAAGGGCCCGCCTGCCTGCGTGCCCTGACCAGCCGCGCTTCCTTCTCCGCAGGCCGCCCTGCAGCACGGCGTGATAGCGGGTCGCAGGGGATTTGGGAGCATTTTCGTCGTGGCCAGTGGCAACGGCGGGCAGCACAGCGACAACTGCAACTACGATGGTTATGCCAACTCCATCTATACCGTCACGATAGGTGAGCGCGCGCGTCTTCCGTCTCGTTCCTTCCCAGCGTGGAAAAATGGGATCGTCCCAAAAGCGCAAAGGCTGCCCAGCTGGAAGCTGGCTGGATAGTGGGAAACTGTGGGAAAGCGTCTGTCCTCTGGGAACGAACGTGGCAGTGTGTAGAGGGGCTTCAGCCCTCGAGGCTGCAGTTTTCTTTTGACCTACAGAGCAAGAGGAGGCCAAAGAAATCCCTGCCTGGGTTCAGGCCTCCGTCGCTGGGGCTGCGACGGACACGCTGCCATGTGGAGGGAGCGACTTGAAACGCGGTGTTCCCACCGCGGCTGTTAGAAAAGAAACGCCTAATCCGTCTTCTCGAGGCCAGAAGCTACGTGAGGGGTAGAAGGTCTGTGTAATATTAAGCACAGTGAAAGGTTATTTACCGGGGCTGCCTTTCCTGCAGGTCTTCCAGCTGCGAAAAATACAGGCTTGGGTCCGATTTCCCTGCCCAGCTCCCAGCCCGGGAAAAAGCACAGCCAGCAGGACAGGCCCTCCGGGGCTCCTCACCTTGCAGTTCCAGCAGTTAAACCGAAACAGGCTTCATACGGCCGATGCCTTTCGCTTTTTCCCAGGGGCGGTGGACGAGACGGGCTCCATGCCGTTCTATGCCGAGGAATGTGCCTCCATGTTAGCGGTGACCTTCAGCGGCGGGGACAAGATGATGAGGAGCATTGTGAGTAGCGTGCGAGCCGCGCGTCTTCCCCTGCGCGCTGCTGGCCGCACCCGGCCGCGGGGCTGGAACAGCCCGGGGCGGAGAAGGGACGAAGCTCTGTCCCTTCCCAGTGCCGCGCATCTGCCGTGGGCTGGGGGTCGGGTTCCCCTGCGAGGCAGGGGATGAACGTGCTTTTTATCCACGTCCAACGTAAGTAGTGCTCCGAGAGGGAGGCTCCTGTTTGTAGTCGTTTCCCGTGTTGTCGCTCTCCGTCAGCCTGTAACTGGCAGTGCGGTGACCCTCTCTCTGCAAGGGTGGTCGCGGGCACGCTGAGTTTCCTGGCCCCCAGCGCAGATCCCGCGTGTCGTTTGTGGCGCCTCAAGCGCGGGCAGGATGTCAGACCGACAGGGACAGGGACTCTGCTCCCTTATCTCCCTGCTGGCAGCTGCAGGCAGGCATCTTCTGGGACGGGGGCCGCTTGGGTGACCCCTAAGAAACTCCTCTGCGCCGTGGCCCTGGGAACGTTGTCTGGGGCGCTCCCCCCGGCTCAGCCCCGGGGACAGCCGGCAGAAGATGAGCTTTACCCCAGCAGCGCGTGGGCCCCCTTTGCGCGGCGAGGAGGGGGCCTGGAGCGAGACTCCCGAGCCACCGTGGGCTTTCCCGGAGAGCAAGGGGCAGGGGCGGCTGCGGCTCAGCTCCCGCTGCCGCGCCGAAGGGACGCGGCAGCACGGACGAGCACGGAGGGCGGGGAGCGGCGGTGGGCTCTTTCAACTACTTGGCCCCGGCCCCTTCTCTGTTCTGGCACGCGTGCCTCTCCCAGCTGAATTTTTCAGAATATTTTTATCAGCTTTTCCTTTTTTTGCCAGAAAATGACTTCTTGTCAACAAAATGTCCTTTTTGCCTGAGCCAAGCAGCCGGGCCTGTTTTCGCCAGCCCCAGGCCTGACCCAGCGCGTTCCTCCCTTGGTGCTGGTGCGCTCGGGGGGCTGCCGGGCTCATCAGCCCCTGTGGCTGCAGCCCGTTCCTGTCCTGCGGTGCCAGCGGGGACTGCGGAGCCCGAGCCGCCCTGGGGCAGCTTGGGGTAGACGTCACTGGCTCCCAGCTCCGACTGTTGGGGGTTGGGTTGTCCCTGGCTTAGCAAGCAGCGGGAGGGTCTCCCGGCAGGACGGGCAGTTCCCAAAGGCGCTTTCCTGGCGAAGCCGATGAGGCAGCGAAGTCCCAGTGGCAGATCAGCATCAGCAGCCTGTGCTCGGGGGTCTCTGGGGGCCTGACGGACGAGGGCCCGGGCCCGGGGTGCTTCTGCAAGCAGGGACGTGCAGCTCTGGCTCTGGGCCTGCCAGAGAGGAGCCGAAGCCAGGCTTGTCCAACAGGCTTCCCTGCGTGCTGGGTAGACCGGGGGAACAGGGAGAGCCTGGGTTCCTCAGCCACCTGCCTGGGACTCGGCGAGCTCCTCTCGCGGTCCAGAGCCGGGGCAGGAATCCGCGCCTAACCGGAGCACGGCACAACCTGCCTGGGGCAACGGCTCGGCTCACGCGGCAGGGAAAGCAAAACCCAGAATGGAGCTAGTTTTTCCTTGCAGAAATGACTTCGATTGTCCCCAGCTGGTTTGGAAAGCACTGACGCTAGGAGCAAAGGAAACGGCAGCCAAGCAAGGGCTCTGCCGCCCGTCCATCGTGAGTTGCAGAGTTCTGGGTTTACGTCCAGCTTCCCCCAAGCCTGCTGCTGGCGAGAGCGCTTTGAGGGTCTCAAGCGCCCCTTCCTTTCGAATACTGGCCATGTGGGCCACTAACACGGGAGCTGGCCGTCCATCGGGGAGCCAGGACGAGATGCCACGCGTAGCCTAGGCACGCCACGTGCCAGAGCCGTCCCATTTCTTTGCAGCGCCGTGGCCGCTCCTTTAGCGAGCCCGGGCCGCGTTAAAACCTACGTTAAAACCTACGTGCCCCTTTTTCTGGAGGACAGTCTGCTCCTAGATGCCCTGCAGCTGTGCTTCAGGGGTGTCGGAGTTAACTTCCCCGCGACCATCTGCTGGGTTTTTTTCTTTCACCGGACTATAAACTCTGTGTGGTTTCCTCAACGGGAAGAATTGAATACGGCTTCTGGCACTAGATGCGTTTCCTACCAAAAGTCTGTGCTGCTCGGGGTGTTCGTTGTAGGACGTGCGGCGTCCGAGCCCGAGCTGAGGTTGCTGACGGCTGGCGGGACGCTATGGAGTCAAGCGGGGAAGGCAACAAAACCTACAGCTTTTGGCAGCGCAGGCTGCCTCCCCACGGGGAGCGCAGGGGGACGGACACATTCGGTTTGCAGTCAGGTGCCGTAATTGGGGAAAGCTCCCTCTTTTGAGGCTCTGCGTGCTCTGCGCGGTCCCCTGTGGTTCCTCTGCAGGGGCCCGGTTGTGCTGGAGTGACGCTGTGGTCAGCAGTGAAGATGGGCAGGTTCCCAAACCCTAACTGCCGTGAGTTTTCCCCCAGAGTCGCTTGGTTCAGGCCCCGTTCCTCTCTCTCTCCAAAGGAAACTGTCCGCAGTCCTCGCTTCTCAACCGGGCTGCGTTGTCCCTGAAGCGAGGGTCTCCCAGGACCCTTTGCGGTGAGCTTGGGGTCCCTGTGCGCAGCGGCTGCTCCTTTGAGTTGGTGTTTTGGTCCTGGGGCGGCAAGGCTCTCTGCACGTGTCCAGCGTACCCCGGGGAACGTTCGCGGTGTTCGAGTTTGGGCGGCGCGTGCCTCTCCCCGAACCGGTGCTGGTTTCCGTGCGTGGGGAGCAGAGCGAAGCGGTGCCGCCTCCAAAGGCCCCAGGGATGTTGGCTGAAATCGGAAGCTTCTGGCAAGAGCTGGTCCAGCCTCTGTAGCCAAGGTGGCTGCGGGCAGGGGAGAGGGGAGCAGGGCCGGCACGGGACCCTGCTGTGCCTTGGCTGTTGCTGCCGCAGGCCAGAGCACCCGTCCGTGGTCCAGAGCACCCGTCCGTGGTCCGGAGCGGTGTAAAGCTGCTGTTCCTTATCCTTAGCTAACCTCTGCGCAAGCAGCGGCTGCAAAGGTGCTTTCCTGCCCTTGCCCTGGGGAGAAGCTGCCCGAGCCGCTCTGCTCAGCCCCGCGCCGGACTGTTTGCGTCCCAGCTCCCAGCGCAGGGCCGTGCCTCTCGACTGGGGAGCTGCGGTGTTGTCCTTCCCGCCTCGTACTGGTTTCTGCTGGGTACCCCCGTCCTGGCCAGGAACTGCCTGGGAAACGTTTCCGGGCTTTTCGGCAGCTAATCCCTGATCCTCTCCCCCTGCTGCTGCCCCGCTCTTGTTGTTGTTCTGGTCTCGGCCGAGGGAGGATGACGGGATCTCTGGCTGCCCCTCCTGTCTCCCAGCCTGATCTCAGCAGCCGCAGAGAGAAAGCAAGCTCCTGTGCTGCAAATTCCTCCCTCCTGCCTGGGGGGAAGCTGCCCCTGCACAAGAGACGGCTGGGAGATGGGCAGATTAGATGCGGTCCGCGCAGGCAGGGGGTTTAGGACCACCTCCCCCCGTCTTTCCTCCGGAGGGGGAATCCCTGGGAGAGAGAACTTTCTCCTTTTGTCCGAAAGCCTTCTGTGAAGGGGGTCAGACGCCGGGTGCTGGCCTTGGCGTGCTGTGTTCGGCCTGGGTGCCGCCCCGCTGGCCCAGCTCGCCCTTCCCTGCCCGTGTTTCCCTGCGGTCGCAGAGAGGCGGGAGGTGTCCCTGGGCGAGGGACCGCGGGCTGCGGTCCCTCCTTTTCCTTCTGACGTAGCAAATCTCGCAGGAAGGGGTGCGAAGGTGCTGCGTGAGTGTCTGCGGTCCCCTTTAAAGGCTGCTGCGTGCCCTGGCACGGTGCAGAGAAGCCCAGCTCTTCGGCCCAGCGTGGCGTGCAGCAGTGCTCTCCCCTGCCGGGGCTGTCACGCTCTGATTCCCGCTCTCTGCCCAACCTCACGCCCCTCTCCCTGCTCTTTCCCGTCTGTTCACCTGGGGCAGACCGCGCGTAGGCGCGCCTGGCTGGGCCGGCTGCCCGGCAGAACGGGGAAAGGCACTGCTGGCTGCACAAAGCGCCCTCGCAAGCGCCGCAGCAGGGCTGGGCGAGCTCCTCTCTCCCCCAGGACAGTCGGCTCCGCCCGGCCAAAGGCGTCCTGCAGTGCAGAAGGTTTTCACTGCCCTCTGCTAATGAAAAATCGGGCCCCCCGAGGGCCCTTGGCGCTGGAGAGGGCTGGCCGGGGGGACCCAGAGCTGCTGACTCCGTCTTTTCTCCCCTCGCGCTCCCGGTTTTCCAAGCCTCCTCCTTGTGCGTCCAGCCAGCCCGTGGGGGATCTTTTCCTCCTCGTCCGGCTTGCGGTAGAGCGGTAGAAATTACGAGAGCGTTGCTGACGGAAACGCGCAAGCGGCGAATCAGCGCTGCGGGGCTGGGGAGAAAACCCACCGGCTTGCGCACCACCCTGCTCGCTGCCGGGGTGCTCGCGCAGTGAAGGAGGACCCCGGCCTCCGCGCGGGGCGCCCGGGCTGCCCTCGCCCAGTGTGCTCGGGCATTGCTCGTTGCTTACCTGCGCCCAGGAGGATGGTGGGGAGCCCCAGAGCCCCCATCCCTCACGCCCTTTGCGTGGGGCGGGGGTCACGCTAGCCTGCGTCCCCGGGGCTTTTGCCAGCAGTTGCGTCCCGGACTGAGCGCGGGCGGCCGGTGGAGCTGGTGTGGGGAGGGTACGGCTCGGGGCCGGGACTGCGTGCTCGGTTGCTCGGGTGCCTGTCCCAGCCACCCTGGCCTGGCAAACGGTGGCCTGACAGGAGGCCTTTCCTCTTTCCCGGAAGGTGACAACAGACTGGGATTTGCAGAAGGGCACGGGCTGCACGGAGGGCCACACGGGGACGTCGGCTGCCGCTCCTCTCGCGGCCGGGATGATCGCGCTGATGCTGCAGGTGCGGCCGTGTCTCACCTGGCGAGACGTCCAGCACATCATTGTCTTCACCACCACCAAGGTGAGTGGCCCGCCCGCCCTCCCTCCGGCCGCCCTGCGGGGACGCTGCAGGCTGGCCGCGGGCCCGCT